TTTCCATCCTGAACTCTCTTACTTTTTTGTGTTTCCAATACTACGAGTCGCATTTTTTCGACCCAGAAGTTTCATCCCTTTGCAAATATTCGTCATCATCTCGGCAGCCTGATAAGTCTCCCAACTAACCGAGACGTCAGACCTCTCCTTCACAACCTTACAACCTTGCGAAGCACGGCCTGCCACCCTTTCTGATTCAGCCAATACTGAGATTTCTCGTCTAGCAGTTGGACCAGAAACACTCGAAATTCCCCCCCTGAGCTTGAGGGCATATTGCTGGACTTTGCCTCCAATATCCACCGCAGCATCCTGAATGATTTCCGAGACTTGCAAAAGCGTGGGCATCCTTCTCCCAATAGAGAATTCCGCATGAACGATTGTTTCGGAATCTTTTTGGAAGGCGTGATGTTCGGAAAAGAAACTGCAGCTTTGACAAATGAGCGACGGGCCAAGATAGAAGCCGAGGAACAACGTCAAGTAATTGGGCCATGTGCTCGTACGGGAGGCCAAGTACTTGCCGATAAAGCCAGAGGCCATTGCGAGACTGACGTACATCTTTTGAGAGTCTTACTTGACAATATGTCCAAGAGACCAAGCGTTTGTCATTATGCTTTTCACAGGGCTGAAAAGGCAACCAGGTCCATTTTACATCTCGCTCAAGATTTGGATGCTTGGAAGTCTTATCGCCGTGCCGAGCTTGTCGTCAGACGGGAGCTCAAGAAATTTGTAAAAGACATGGCCACGGTAAGGCAGCTTCTGACAAAACTTCAGGCTGGGTCTCTATGGGATGAAGATGACCTTAACATTACCTTCCCAAGTGTGGTGGCGCGACTGGTTGGCTGTAGCCCCCGTACATTTGGGCAGGCCAATGTCTTTCAGAGAATCGCCGCGAAAAGCCGTGAAATATTGGACAATACTCTTAAAATCCGAAACTACCACATTGCTGCTTCGGAAAACGACCCCATGCGGGACGTATGGCTGGCATCACTGGCCCGGCAAGCGGAAAGTTTGCAAGTGAAACTGAATAACATTGAGACCGAACTTCGTGGTGCAATGGGAGCTTATCTACCCGCACAAGAAAAAAAATCAGGGGACGGGAATATTTGTTAGCCTTGATTTATCACGTTGGAGAAGTTGAACGCATAGCAATTACTTGCGGGAGACGGTACTTTAAGGTACTTTAAGAGACCGCAAGGTGCTAAATCTACAGAAAGCTTGAGGGAAAGGCGCACCGCTCTGTTTGGGGAGAGACATACTGGGAGAATCACGGGCGACATCGGGCAGCAATCTGCAACTCATAACACACATCAAGTCTGAAACATGAAAGCCAGACTCTTTTGGCAGGGGCCCTGATGAATGAATTCTTTGTTCCATGGTTGCCAGTTCGATAAAGACAATCGGATCGATGTTCTGCTCAGGGAAAATTAGCCAATACGATGGCACAGAAACCCATCGATACTTTGTGTTTTCGCAACTGCTTAGCTAGAAAGAACCTCACAAAAATAAAACGAGTCCAGCACCACTTTCCGCCGGTACTGGTGACGTAAGAAATGTCGATCAAACTGTTCTATATGAGATGTCTAGTGCCTGTTGTCCCCCAACTCCTTGCGTTTTAGAACCTCGAAATGTCCCTCCCAAAAATCCAAGTAATCACCCAATACACCGGGATCATAATCTTATTCCGCACACTCATGCTCCTCGTCAAATACGCCGTGCGCCAAAGAACCCAGGCGGCCCACCCCCTCAAATAATCAGCCTCGCTCTGGTGAATCGCTCGCCAGCTCCCCAAATACGTCATCACACCCCAGTTCTTAAACTTGAACGGCCTCGAGGCCTCCTTGTCGCCCTTGTTGAGCTGCTTGGCCAGGTAGACTGCCTGCTGACTGGCGACTTGCGCCGTGGCAGGGTAACTTGCGCCCTGGACAGAAATACAATCGCCCACGGCGTACACGTCCTTCAGGGTGGTTGTCTCCGAACCATCTCCGGGACCCTGCAGCTGGACCTGGAGGTTCGGGTTGGTGACGATGCTCCCTGTCCGGGGGTCCTTTGCAATCTTGCCGGTTCCCTCAATGTCGGACTCGACGAGGGTCTTGACCAGCGGGTTCTGCATGAGCCCCGTGCTCCAGACGACGATGCCGGCGCCGACCTCGTCTGGCTCCTCCTTGATCTGCAGCATCAGGTGGTGCCCTTGCCGGCGGATGCGGGTGAGGTGGTGCTCTGTTTTGACTCGGATGCCCTGCCGCTTGAACGTCTCCGTCGCATACGCGGCCAGCTTACTGTCAAACATGGGCAGCACCTTTGGCGCAATGTCGTAGACGGTAATGGCGCAATGCCTCTGCAGCTTGGGATACATCCTCGACAAGTCATCCTTGATCAGATCGTGCAGCTCTGCGGCAAACTCGATCCCCGTCGGACCGCCGCCCACGACGGCAAAATGCAACAGCTTCTTCCTCTCCTCGTCGCTCGTCGTCGGCAGGTCTGCCGTCTCAAACGCCTGCAGGACCTGCAGTCGGATAGCCCGCGCATCGCCCACGTCTCTCAGGAAATGGGCGTGCTCTTTGACGCCCTCGATGCCAAAAGTCTGGCTGTAGCAGCCCACGGCAATGACGAGCTTGTCGTACTTGACGTCGAATTCTTCCCCTTTGATCTCGGGCCTGTTGGTGGCGGCACTGACGTCTCCGCGCTCGTTGGCTTCCACGCGGATGGTTTTGTTTTTGAAGTCGATGCTGGACGCCCATGCTTGGTAGAACTCGTCGAGACCGAGCCGACGGACAGGTTCAATGGCCGCGCGGAACTCGAGGGTCCCTACGGATGTCGAAGCGAGGAGAGGAGTGAATGCGAAGTGGGATCGAGGGGAGACGAGGATGCGCGTGGTTTTGGAAGGGGAGAGGGTGCGGGCGGCGGCGTAGCCTGCCCAGCCAGAACCGAGGATGACGACTCTTTCTTTGTGATTGGGGGCTGGTATGTATTAACTAGACTGTTTCGTCCTTGAGGTTGCAAGTGGTGCTGTGGACAGCGTGTGAACTTACCGCTGGTAATAGCAAGTGTTGAAGCATGCCGTCTGGGTATGGCATGAGTTGCAACTCGAGGCACATGCGACGAGAGCTTCATCAACGACCGGCACTGCATGCGATTAAGGCCGTCCATCATTCCTCATGCTCCAAGAGACATCCAGGTGAGTAGTCCAGGCCAAGACAGACTCAAGATTGGAATCAAGATTGATATGATGGCGAGCTATATAGCTATATTTTAATTTTTAATTTCTTTGTGACCCAGCTCGGAGCTCGGGATGACATCAGCCTTATCGCATAATGTGAGTGGACCTCAGCAACACCAGCAACAGTCGTCAGTCAGTCAGTCAGCCACCAGCATTGCACCCAATTGCATTATGGCTAATTGCGGGAATTGTCGCAGCCCATTGAAACGAGGGCCTGAACAAGATTGTTTTGGGTCCGATCAAGAACCGACCGACTGAGTAAGGCAATGGCGACGATAATAGATCGGGAAAGAGGAAAAGGTGGTGGCACTGGTGGGCCAGGTTGCTCGTCGATATCGGCACAGCGTGCCAGCACGTACGCTGCATCAGCATCACACTAAATGTCCTTCCATAACAGGCATGTGGGGCATAGACACAGTGCGACGCCGTTGATGCAAGTAAGGAGCTGATAAAGAAGCTGAGACACTGTAACGGCTGTCACACCATTTACAGGGATGAATTCAAGTATAGTAGGAACGTGCTTATAGACCTCTTATGATTCTGAGTTGGCAAATCCGTCCATTAGAGATTTTGCAATAAGAATCTAAGAATTGGCGGCGAGTCAACAGTTACAGGGGAACTGCTGCCTGGCCTAAGCGTTCCTTCCGTAATCAACTGGTCAATATTAATTGATGGCTTTACATCTTTCTTTAGCTAGCCCTTGCTGGGACCCAAGCAGTCAGTGCCAATAAAGAAGAAAAAAAAAACAGACTTTGCGTCCTTCAAAGCAACAAAAAAATCCTATAAAATGATTCCTTGGGTTGCAAGGAAGTGCAGGATTGTGTGTCGACAAGATACACAGCAAGAGTCAATTAAATATCAGACTGTAAACCAGTGGCCGCTGAACCGAATTGCACTGTGCTCCGCTTACCGCACGGAGCCCTTGGGAAATGTCAACGTCTAGTCGTGTCGGGGGCATCGGTGCTTCGGTGCTTGATGTCGGGGATGCCCTGCCGCCGCGGATGCCGATAAATGAGGTCGCAGGCGGTTGGTGCGCCGGGAGCCAGGACCAGCCCCACAGGCCGCTGTACATCCTCAAGCGCTGTTCAACAGTGAAGTGTTGGCGAGCCCCGACTCGTCCTTACTGTGCAGGTGCAAAATAGACTTGGGGCCCGACGCAAAGTAGGATCCGAGGCTGTCAAGTGCTCATTTTATCCTCGGATGCAGCAAGGAAAATTCACGCTGCCGCCGCCGCTTTATGAGCATCCCAAACCTGCAGTCGTGTTCCTCTTCATACTACAAAGACAAAATGTCAGAAACATGCCAGAACAGACATCTATTCATTTCAGTGAATTAATGATTCTTCCGTAATTATGTTATCTAGATACGACACCATAACTACCGTAATTTATCCGAGGTTACGCTCAGAGGTTCACTCACTTTGTCAACATTTGAGTTCCAGTTTCAGCTTCAACGAGAACCGGGCCATATGAGCAGCCATCACGAATGCTTCACGCGCCAATCGCTGTAGCGATCAAGGGCAAGCAAGCAAGGCATCTACAATAAACTCCTGGGGCATCAAATATCTATTGTGGGGATTCACATGAGATCGACAGCACGTCACAAACTGCCAGCCCACATGCTGATACATATCTATTCAGGAACCTCTCTTGGATTCCGATGCCCCCAACGATAAGGTGTATGTGTGTGTAAATATATGAAAATTTTTACCCCAAAACACATTGCAAACTCCGGCATTTCATCTTCAATCAGAGCCAACATCCCTAAACCAATTCACATGCTACTACTGCAGCATACTATCCAGACTCTCGCCCATAACGGCTTCAATTTTCACAATCCATCGATGCGTTTCCCTCTCCACTACCTCGTCGTCGTCTTCCTGTAACTCGCTGATGCGGGGCAACATCTCATGCAGCATCAATAGCCACTCCTCTCCCAGTCGATCCGTCAATGCCTGCTGACATTTGACTGCTGCTAGTCGGACCGCCGTCTGCTCTGATTTCAGATGCTTCATGAGAGCAGCATTGATTTCCTTTTGATGTGCTTGCGAGTCGGCAGCGGCAGCTAATTCCACAACGGCTGGAATCAACCGCTCAGACACATCCACGGAGCCGGCCTGGAGAAATTGGTCCATCACGACAGGAGCGATGGCTCCAAAGTGGGATGGAGCTTGCCAAAAGTCGTCCTGATCATGTTCGAAGCAGGTTGCAAGCACCTGCAGTACTCGACTCCACAGCTGGCGGTCCTCAACTGATTTGGGGTTAACAGCTCCAAGAATCTTGGCTGCATCGTCAATCACGTATGTGGCGTAGTTTGTGACAATTGACTTCAAGTTTCCGAAGAATGCGTTGAGAAAGCCGTAGACGCTATATTGCCGGAGGTTTCGTCCAGACTTATCACTCTTGGGAAGATTGGAGCTTGTCCATTCCACGATTTGTACAAACAAGGGTCGGAATGCGGCGTCGTTGAGTTTATAAATCATCTTGAGGGACGCCTCATTCAAGCTGGTTTCGATGTCGGCAACTTCGCGCAGAGCCGCTTCGCTCTTCTCGCCCTTGGCAGCGACTTGGCGACGTAGGTCAAAAGCCTTGAGTAGGATATTAGACAGGACTGATATGTTCTTTGTAATGCTAGACTTGTTGTGCTTGTCAATTGCAGTGGAAAGAACCGCGAAAAATTCACGAGTGGCCTGCAGCATGAAGTTAGTCACTGTTCTGTGGCGCGGCGTTGGTGTACTTACAGAGAACCCTGCATCGGTGGCCTTTTCCCAATTGCGCTCCAGCGCAGTAAAGACTTCTTTTGCTTCCAGCTTCTTGGCGAGAATTTCCAGGCAGCTTGTCCGGCTCTCATTGGCCTCGTCATCTAGGTCAGCTTCGGCTGATCGACTGGACACCTCAAGAATCTTGTCAAGATACGTGGACAACATGTACGGGAGATGCTCCGCTAGAGAGCTGATGAAACCGTAGCATGCGGAGTGAAGCTCCTCGTCAGCGTTCTCGCCCCCCAGACTAGCCTCAAGATACTTGACGGCCTCTGGGATGGCAATAGGCAAGACTGGAACGACGGCATCCTGCAACACATCAACAAGCGACGTCAAGCATAGCAGAGCCATGACACGGAGGCGCTTCTCCTCTTGACCCAGGCAGTATGGGCCAGCAATCGTTTCAGCCGCGGCGACGACGGCTTCGACATCCTTCTTGCCATACTTTTCTGCAATCTTGTCCACACAGGTAACCGCAGTATGCTTATAGCGAATGTCACTTGATTCCCGAATGGCAGCTGTGAGCTGGGGCAAGAATGATAGCAGAGCATTCCTGGAGGCGGCATCAGTGTTACTCTCCGTCTCAACTCGAACCTCGAGGGCACGCAGGACCTTTTGCCGCAAACCCAGATCAGGTCGGTCCAGCAGGTTCTCCACTGCCTTGATGAATTCCCCAATAGATAGCAAGTTGAGCAAGTTGGAAAGCGCAGATCCACATCGTCCGTGTAGCGTCTTGTTCGTCTTGACGGTGTCGGCCAAAACTAGGATGTTCTCAAGCAAGGTGGCATAAAACTCTCGCACCTCCGCTGTGTCCATATCCTCCCGATCAGCCAGTTTTCCAATTTGAGACCGCAACTTTTTGTTGGCCAAAAAGCTAGGGAGTGCCGAAAGTTGCCGAAGGGCAACCTTTTCGACGTCTTTATCCCCATCGTCAGTGATCCCCAGCAGAACAAACGACATGCCGGGTTTGGGCTTGAATAGGTCGGACACAAGCTCCACGACTTTGACCAAGGTTTCCAATTGCGTTTTTATGTCAAAGTTGTTCAAGAGGTCAACAATGAAGGATAAGAGTGCTTCGCTGGTGTCGTAACGGTCGACCAGCATGCTGATAAGGGCAAAGAGAAAATCTCGAGGTCCCAGAGTCTCAACTAGAGCCACGAACAAGCCTTGTCGTCTGTGAGATGGAATGTGCTCGTAGGCGGTTGTGAAGCTGACAAGAATGTCCGAGGCACCAGCAACAGGGCCGTTTTTCCCATGGCGAAGAGACTCGATCAACGGGGGCACAACCTCCTTGATAGTTTGAGAGACTACATGAGCAGAATAGTCATCACTTTGTCGCAGCACAGACGTCCCCATAAAGGTGAAGATGGGCATGACACTGTGAAGAACAAGATTGGGGGCGGTGGTGGCAAGATCGGCAACCAACAGGAGTGCGGCGTTTTGGACTACAGGACTGGACGACTTCTGGATGCAGTTAACAAGCAAATCACCGTAGCCGCCAGAACTATCAATTGTCAACTCCTTGTCGGCTTTGTAAGCGGGCATCATGGCCAACAGGCTACGAAGAATCAAGTTCTGCAGATAACCAAGCTCTGAACCGACGACTGTTTTAAAGTGTTGCAGTTCTGAAAGAGCTGTGAAGAGGCCATCCAGTAACTCCGGATGCGAAACCGGGTCCGAGTTATCAACAAGCTGCAAGACAAAGGTGACTTTACGCAGGGCTTGGCTTAGCTCCGGTGTGACATGGGTGATTAGGCTTCGATTGACATCCGTGGAGCTTGTGCGGCGGCGCTTGTTTGGAGGCGGCTCCGTGATCATCTTGGTTCCAGTCTGGATAGAGTCTAGGAAGAAGGATAAAATGTCGGTGGTTAGGGGGACCGCCCGAAGTAACTCGGCGGCTTCTATTGAAACAATCGAGTTTTCGTCGTCTGAAGAAGACGGCGACTCTTGCGAGATTGCCAGGAGCTGCTCTGCCACTATGAACTTAACAGGGTCTTTCATGGAAGGCCACATCTTTCGCAAACGGCCAAAAATGGCTCGCATGAGGTCTGCCTTTTCTCTTTGAGCAGGGTCCTTGAGCAACTTGAAGAGAAACTCGAGACCCTCAGTATCATTGGGCACAACAACATCAACAAATTGAGAGTTTAGAGTCAAAATGTCTTGTTTCTCTTCTGTGCATTGCCTTCGGATTTCTGATTCACTCAGAGTTGTCCACCAGTTCAGCAACGGCAACAACATCCGTGTTCGGGACGTGTTTCCAACACCCTTGACCTCGTTCAAAGACTTCAAAAGCCTGTTCTTTACCACTATCAAGGGAGTCAATTCGGCATGAGAAGCAAAAAATGACAGTATTGCCAGTCTAGCCGATTGGTTCATATGATCTTTTTTGTCCAAGGCTGGTGGAGGAGCAACTTGATATTTGCCTTGCTCAATGACTGACTTGAGAATTGATGAAATGTGCTCAGGGTCCATGACACACTCCTCGATGCTAGGAAGAAGTTGCAAATGCAGCATCTTTGCAGTTACATCGACCGCAAGAGGCTGTTTATCCTCGGCCTTGCCGTAGAGTAAGCCGGAGCCCCAAGTCTTCATTGACTTGGCTGAGACGGGGGGAGTGTATAGGTCAGTGACCACGGCGATGAGCTCGGCAGCCGCTTGCCGAACTCGTTTCGAGGGATCGCTCAGAGCCGTTATTGCGTACGGAATAAGAGCTTGCACATCCATTTTGCTTGCATCGCTAGACTTGAGCCTACTCTTGACCATATTCAAAGCGGCCATGCGAGCCAGGGCAGGATAAGGTCCAGACCAAATTCGAATAAAAAAGCTAAAATACGTGCAGTCCTTGAAGGCGGCCTCGCGTCCAAGCTGGGGGATTTCATCAAATTGAGTCATCATATCGCCTTGCTGAGAAGTCTCAGACACGATTGAGAAGAAAAGGTGGCTGAATTCCTCGAATAGTTCGTTTGGTTCAGGCAAAAGGCAGGGCGGAAGTGACTCTTTTCGAGTAGCAAGCTCACTAATGGCGCTGCCCAAATCCCGAGGCTTTTTAACACTTTCCAGTTGGTCGGTTGTTATGTTTTCATCCAGCGCAGGAGGGTTTCTAGCTCTGAATGAGAGGTCCAGTTTCATTTCTAGCTCCTCAATATCGAACTCGACATCCTGGATAACTGACTGAATAATCTCACCCGACTTCCCAGTAGTCTGCGATAGGGAGATTAAAGCAGAACCAAGCTCTCGCCTTAGCGCGCCATCTTCGTCGTTATTATCATCGAGCTTCAGGGCGGCCAAAAGCAGGGATTTGAAGATGACTGCGATTTGTTTCTCCTTGAGTATTTTGCTGCCCAAGATGGCCATGATAGTAGGTAGTCCTCGGGAATCCCCCTTCTTGGAAAATCGCTCAATCAAGGCGAGGCAAAGTCCATTGGCCAATTTGTCCACCCTGCGTTCCTTGCCAATCTCGACCAACATGGGGCCAATATCTTGGACCTTCATCAGCGCCTTGGTGACTTTGCTGCTCATTTGTTTCGCCGATCTGAATTGTGCCAAAATTACAAGACACACAAGGCCAGGCCGAATCGTCTCGTTCGTCCAACCGTAGACCGTCTGCTGCATGAAAGCTGTTACCGCATTATCTTCCAAATTTCCCTTGGAAACAAAGACAGTCATGGCCATGTACGACGCAATTTGGAGGCCAGGCACCTTCTTCATGACGAGAGACTCAGCGAAGATTGGACCTAGCCTGTGTAGCAAGTCTTGGGTGTTGTGACTTTGAACAGAGGCACGACCCGATCGTGTTCTATCCAACATTCCATTTACAGCTTCGGTCATGAGACCACCCCAAAACATAATGAGGGTGGGATAGTGATACTGTTTTCTGCATGACTCAAGCGTGTACTCGGATACGGAAGACAGGAACTCGGGATGGTGGACTGTCTGGTGTACGAGAACTGATCTCGGTGGTGAGGTCAAAGATCGGATGTACGGGTCGAGAAAGCGAAATTCATGTGGAATTTTGGCGGGTAAGATTGAAAGAAGTGTTGCGAACGTAGGAATAGAATGGTAAGGGAGAAAGGTCATCAGCAGAACGGCTGTATTCTCTTCGTGAATACTGAAGTCAGGTTAAAATAAGGATGATGCGTGGTGGAGTTGAAGTGGAAGGATAGCATACCGGAATCGGCGAATTAACCACTCAATCGACTTGATTGCTGGCATAAGTCTTAACTTGCTCCCGGCCAAGCGGAGGAAGGCTTCAATCTGGCGATCAAGTTCCTCATTCTCGCTAGCGGACAGCTGGGTTCTGTCCTGGGTCTGACTCTCTTCGCCGAAAATAGTCGATTGGAACCGTGCAAAACGATTATCAAGCTGGCAAAGCTCCTCGAATCCGGGATAGCATATTGTATACAACGTCTGGTAGCTTTGAGTCGCGGCGACACGAGGCTCCCAGATGAGAGACTTGGAGTGTGCAGCCTTCTGGGTTTTGATGTTGAGAGTTGACTTGGAGTTGGCGGCAATCTGCGCCAACTGCGAAGCGAGAGAGGTCGCCATGGCTGCAGCGCTTCAAGACCCTTCGAGCCGAGAAGGCGAGCTCAATGCGGCGTGGTTGGTGTTTGGCAACCAGTCTTGTGGCGGGCAGAATTGAAGGTCTCACCGAGGGTCTGATCCAAGTACAGGCAGGTAGTCTGCAGTTGCCAAATTTTTTTTGGCTGGCATAAAAAAAGTGGACCCAAGCCAACCGGGCTTATCGATAAGGCAACATTTGAACAAGCTTGAGCCACCGCCTGGAGCTTGCACAACGCAACCCTGAAGTGTCAGGACTCGGCGTGGGGCTGGTTCCTTGAGGTTTCAGCCTAGATGCCGTGCTACATTGTTCCGAGCATGCGGCATCCAGCACTTGCATCTGAAAGTGCACAATACATGTAGCATACTCCGTAGAGACTTCGCAATTTCCAGGCTTCAATATTGGGGTCCGGTTCAACGATGCCTTGCTCCCGAGCCTATCGATGGCACCAGTGGGAGGCAAAAAGTCTTGACCAGACCGGGTACCTGGCCGTCGTACGATCATAATAGATCGTGGTAGGGCGTACGGAGTATATCAGTGCGTATATCTTGATAGGCAAATATACTCCGCCTCGGGCGGGCACATGATAACACCAGATTGGCTTCGCTTCCAAGTTTCAGAGCCTGCGTGGCCAGAGTAAGTACCTAGGCAATTGGCTCGTCGTGCTGAGTCTGGTGTCTGGATGTGCAGGGCTCGCGGTGCTTGAATGAAACTCTGACGGGATTTCAGCCTCATAGCTGTCGTCGTGCGCGCTCCTTTGTTTCCAAGGCCCTTTTATTAAGGTGGTGGGCCAACTTTCCGCTTTGCTGTCCATCTCAGACCCATCGACAACATTCTCAGGACCTCGCTACACGATTCGGATCCATAGCATCTCTACGCAGTCGTATCGACTGAATATACGGTACAACCGGACAACATGGCTGTAAGTGAGACCACTGGACGCTCAAAACACCGCGTTAACTTGGACAAAGGGCCCATATCCTCAGCTTGTGCTGTTTGGCGACTCGCTATTGCAGCGTTCTGTCGACCTTCAAGACGGGTTTTCCATGCAGGCTGCACTGCAGTCACGTAAGGCGATCCGCTCGTTCTCGTCTCATTGATACTGATACTGACACAGGATTCATTCGACGGCTTGATGTTATGAATCGTGGCTTCTCGGGCTGGACCACTGCCAATGCTGTCAAGTTTCTCTCCGACATCTTTCCGAAGCCGACACCAACTTCGCCCAGGATCAAATACTTGGTATGCACCACAAGTCCCTTCCTTTCAGATGTGTAGCCAACCTTGGTTCTATTTTAGGTAGTTTTGCTCGGCGCCAATGATGCCTCCCTTCCCACCACGCCACAGCATGTCCCAATCGATCAATACAAAGAAAACCTGACAAAGATTGTTACACACCCAAACATTCAAGCACACGAACCAAAGATATTATTGGTGACCCCTCCTCCATTGGATGAGATCAAGTTGACAAAGGTTGACATGGAAAATGGTCACGCGTCCGCCACTCGGTCGTCCGCGGTCAGTGCCTCGTACTCGGAAAAGGTGCGAGAAGTTGCTCGTGAGAATCCAAACGTCAGATTAGTCGATCTGTGGAAGGCTATTATGGATAAGGCTATCAGCATGGCGCCAAACGATATATACAGGATGGACCTTGGCTGGGCTCCCCTGAGAACGGCAAGCAGGGTGGATTGGACATTCTTCTTCCAGACGGCCTTCATATGAGTGGTGAGGCCTACAGAGTTTTCTATGATGAACTGAAGGGTTTAATCGGAGAAGAATGGGCAAACCTAGCTGATGATGATAGATCCGGGTACGTCTTCCCTGACTGGCGTGTCCTGAACCCTCTCAAGAAATGAGTGGTGAACTGTGGTGCGAGTCGCGACCTGATTCCAAGTCAATCTCAAGGACTAGATATTGATAGAATAGACTCGTGCTTCTGGATTTACGGAGCTCTACATTGAACTGTGAAGAGAAAATGTAGTCAGGGCCCAACAGTTCACCTCCAACTACCTACCTAGGTAGGTAGGTACCTCGGTAGGTATGAATTCATCGATACGTACTCCGTATCGATGACTCAAGAGGCATTGTCACGGTCTTCCTCACTGCGTAGACCCAAAACTCCCAAAACTCTGAGCAATTTCGGCCAATGACCAGGAGTACCCCATGGAGGGGTATGTCTGGTCTTATTTTAAATCCAAAACGCACTATGAGCCCACGTGGGCCATGCGGAAGGAATAAGGAATTCAAATGTCATGTCTCATTATGCCATCCCTACACAATTTTCAATTTCAGCTTTGCCGGATCGTCAAAATACATCATTTATTATTTACCTAGGTAATTTTGTTGTTCCGGAATGTACCTCAGGTACCCGCGCCACCTGAAAAATGTAGACAGCAGGAACATGCAGCTTCCGGAACCGTTCCTGCCAATGGTTCCTTCCACTCGTTGGCCTGTCTCAGTTTAGCGCGAATTTACCCACAGGGGCCAGGGAGGAGCAGGCAGGAAGGGGGGAAACTTAAGCCATCACTTTTCAGCACTTGGCCAACCTATCGAGCACCAGACTCGTGGCCGTGTTAACTCATCACCGTTCAACTTCATCCCTCCATCTCCCGGCAGCGCTTTAACACCAACCTCTGTAACCACTTTCCCTATTCACCAGAGCCTGCAAAAACGCGACTCTACCGAGATTATATTCGATTGAACACTCCAAAACTCTCTAGTAACTGAAAATCCACCTGGCCTCGCCTCGATACCCATCAACTCGGCGCATTCCAATTCGTTCCAGCTCCTGTCACGAACTCATCAGAACCATAAATCGCCCCCGGCATCCGACTGTCAGACACGACCAAGCAGCATTCTATCAAATTCCGTACTCTCGAATCATCAATAATTTGCCAAGTAGTGCATCCAACACACTTCAGTTCCCAGACATTCAACGATAACGGATACCCTCGAAAATATATCCACGTCTAGTGTACTTTGGTTGGCGCAACATCCTGATATCCCTAGAGTCCCAACGGTCCTAGCATTTCAATAAACACGGATCAGTGACATCAGAGTATTTGGAAGTTGTGCAGCCGTTGCGCTTGCGCAAGGCCATCGCCACCGGCGCTGCAGGGCCACTCGTAGGTCTCGACCTGACGATGCGTGGGGTGGAGTCGTCTTGAAGAGAGAAGGAAGTTCAGCCAGGCACCAAACGACTCTGTTAGTATACTCAGTATTCGATTTGTCTGGGTGACGGGGGCAATTCTACAAGAGTACTGTACATCAAGACCCTGTCAACAAATATTTTCGTTCACTCGCTCATTTGTCTTCATACGCCATTCGACCAGCCAAGACACTGATGACATCTTCCAATCTGGCATGACCTGGCGCATCCTACTTTGTGTTGCGCCAAAAGTATTTTTCGAAGAATGGATACTCGGTTTCCCATCTCGCGTGATGATCTGTATAACCTACAGATGGAGGTGAAACAAGTTCAATATACCCAGAGCAATCACGCGGAGCGGCTGTTGAGACTAGAGAAACGCAGTGCGGATGATTCCGCTTTGAAGTCAGTGTGGAATTCCCCGTTTCCCGGAATTTTAGGCGGTACGCCACACCAAGGTATGTAAACCGTTGAAATTGGCTAGATAAAAGTGCTGACTAGACTACAGGGCCTGTCCAAACGCCACACAATGATGTTTTCGATGACTTGGATGAGCATGGTGAACAACTGCTTGGTTCTCTCCATCTCGGCCCAGCTGAAGAGGAGCCTGTGCGACGGGGTGCGGCTTCGCGAGCTAATAGTGTTAGGTTTGATGAAAGCGCCTTGCATGGCTCCAGCTGGGGTGGCCAAAGCAACCGGCATTCGGGCGACTTTGGGCCTTTACGACCTGGCAGCGGCCTTATGATGGAACGCACTTTGTCCCACAAATCTGATGGGAGACACAGCTCTGCCGGCCACTCAGTTCACTCACACCATTCAGTGGCATCTGGTCGGGCCAGTAGCCTGGGCCTTGATACCAACTACGCAGGGGTGGATGACGACTCTTCCTCGTTTGAGATACCCGGCCCACCGGTATCTCTCTATGTACTAGGCACCGTGCCATCGATCGTTCGATGCTGGCTCACTACAAACTTCGCCCACGGCACTCTCTTGTACGCAGACGTTTGCACCGGGTCGCAAAAGTCCGTCATCGATTCATCTTTGCTTAAAGAACTCGATCTCTTAAGGGAAGTTGAACGAGACGTTGACGGAGTTGATCGAATCAGACTCAATGTATATCTGGCCGAAGCAGTTGTTACGCGACACGAAAACCACAATGGAAGCTCAACAGGGGGAGTTCCTTCCATGGCGGTCGCGTTCGAGGTTATGGGAAACGAGCAGTCCAGCACCATTGGCGATCGTAAGGGTATTCGCATATATATTGGAAGTGATGCCTTGAGGGCTCACTCAGCCGACGTACTATTTTCACAAAACACCATGGTCTTGTATGGAAATGAACAAGAACGGCTGCGTGTTCCGTTTGTACGGCCTGAGGATGAGAATGCTTTCCGGTATATATACACGACGAGCATGGCACCGGAAAAGCCTAAATTGAATGCGACGGCAACACCATTTGTTCTAGGAGACAGCAGGGTCTCGAATAATGGTAGGAGTGGCGCACCTTCTCCAGGAGCGCTCCACGAAAAAGCGGCGCCTACTCAGCCAATATCACCTGATGAGTCGGATATGGAGTCTCATAAATCAGAGGAGCGGCAAGCAACTTTTGAACATGGCGGCGATAGTGACAACCACGGGCGAGAAGCGAATTATTCCGAAACAAGCGGAAAAGATGACACGAGCGCTTCAGAGGTGTCCCGACGGGAGTCATCATCAACCTCTACTGGGATATGGGGTTCGTGGCGACAAGGCGCTGGCGCTGGGCCAGATGGGACACAGCGAGAGACGGGCCCTCTGAGCGGCTACCAACCGGCCGGTCGCAGTGGCCGTAACATGAAGGTATTGAAACCTCTAAAATCAAACTCCAATTCCGCCCGAACGGGTGCTTCATATGAGCCACCCCTGCCGCCCAAATTCTCCACTGAAGGCAGACGCAAGAGCCAGGTCAGCCTGAACGGTGACGGTGGCGGCGTCGGCGCGGCCAATCGTTGGGACGTTAAACGGTCCGTCAGCTCAGGTGCAGAGCTCAAGATGGAGAGTTCGAATCGAGAGAATCAAAAGGGCGCAGCACTGCCGCGATCTGCCAACCCAGTTGGAGTGGCTTCTGCATTCTCGTGGATGACCCCGGCCACCAAGGTTTCCAAGACTTCGCCAGCAGGAGGGTGATTGCTATGTGTTAAAGGTTTGCTCTAGCTTTGTCCATTGTTTATGCTTACAATATGTGCCGTTGATTCTTTTTTTTATTTTGGAAGAGGGCCAGGAGCAGAGGGTCCCATGTAGAGGAGGTAATTCACATTGAGAATTAAGACGCAACGGAATCAGGCCAGAAGCAATTACAGCCACGACCTCATGATGCAGGAAGTGTAGAGATAAATCAACAGAAGTTCTCTACCAAAATATGCCTAAGTTTAAATCCGCGGCAGTGTGAAAGACGTGGTATTTTTGCAAATACGCAACATGAGACAAAAGAAAAAAAATCTAACAAGTCATTCTAAATCTTGGAAGTCGGTGGCAACGACTCGAGCACCTTTTGGGTGTCGGCAAGGGCACCCTTGACGACGGTAATCAAGGTCTTGAAGGCCGGGTTGGAAGCATCGCCCGTACACTCGTACATCCAGCTCTCGGAAGACGTGACGGTGACGCCGTGCTCGGCACGCAACCTGTCGAGGGCAATAATGACCTCTGTCCTGTTGCAGCTGCTGACGGCGTCGGCAATGACGTAGGGGAAGTGGCCTGCGTCGCGGAGGTCCAGGGCCGTCTGGGTAATGCAGATATGGGACTCGATGCCGACGAGGGCGACGCGCGAGCCGGGCGGCAGGGCGGCAGCCAGCGGGGGGATGAGCATGGAGAACTTGGTCTTGTCGTGCGGCGCCGAGGGGAGGAGGGAGGCGAGCGCGGGGACGGTAGGGCCGAGCTTGGCGGCCGTCTGGGTTGTTGCGTGGACGGGGATGTTGACGGCGTTGGCGAAGGTGAGCAGCTTGGTGGTGGTGGCCACACTGCCTTGGTGTTAGTTTTTCTGAGGCTTCTTCAGCGTCGCTGGTCATGATGGCCAGCGGCGACGGGGGAGACGTTGGGGGGGAAGGGGGGGCCTACATGCTGTCGAACTCGTAGATGGCATTGCGGAACTTTTCCTGGAGATCGCAGACCCTGCGGCTCGTCAGTACGGGGTGTGTCGTGTCCCGGTGCTGCGCTCGTCACGCGAGCGCGCGCGTCGAGAACAAGGTCGGGCAGAGAGGTGACGAACAGGACGGCGGGGTTCTCTGCGCGACGGAGACGATTAGCCAGACGGCCCGGCGCGGTGAGGTCGATTGACCGCGTGGAGGGACTTACTGAACCGCAGCTCTGTAGGGGCGGCAGGACCAGCCATGTTGCGAAGCTGGCGCGAAAGGAGCGCTCTCGGATTACAGGACGACGATGTCGGAGGGGTGAAGTTGGCCGTCGAGGTGGAAGGAGCGTGGCGGGGACGGCGGGGAGGGGCAGTAAAGTGCCGAGGATGCGGGAGGCGGCGAGGGTGGATGGAGCGAGCGGCCGCGGACGACGAGCATGGGACGAACGGAGCGGAGGTGAGGAGGATGCGCTGCGTCGCGTGAAGTGAATTCATCCCCGTGACGGCCCCGTATTCCTCGATATATCTTTTTTTTTTTCCTTCTCTTTCTCTAATTTATTTGCCAGGTTTCGACGACGGACGAATTGGTCGTTGGTTGGCGACACAGGGCTGCAGCGGGTTGATGCGAGAAATGCCAGCTAGATATGTAGCCAGTGTTTGCGATGGCTAGTGGACATCGACGGAGGTGATGGGATGATTGCGGGGGGTGGAGAGGGGCACTGGGGAGAAGGCGGCTTGTTTGATTGGGTCGCGCGGCCTTGTTTGCTTTTGCAGGCCAAGGCAGTAGTTACGGCCATGTTGAAAGGCATGTGCATGTGCAGCTGACGTGGTAGTTATGCGTGCAATTGCCCCTGGCAAGCTGAGCCGTTGAGTGCGTCATTTGATCTTTTCTCGTTGGCATCCGACGGGCATCGCCACCACTGCACGCATGTCCATGTGAATAATTTAGCTGAGCGGCATGCCCATTGCAGGTTGGGTACTGGGTACTAGCTAGGTATTTGGATATGTAGCTGCTTCTTGGGAATTGATGCTCTACTTGGTGGCGGTGGCTCGCCCGTTGTTTCGCTGCAATTGTTGCCAGTCCATGAGTATTACCATGGCCAGGCGCACAAGTAGGTGGTTTTTTTTAACACTTCACGTCCGAGGTAACAAAATCCTTTTTGTGATGGGCAAACTTGATTGCATAACGTCCTGTATATCCACCTACTCATTGTCTAGACGCCCAAACTCCAAGCAATGCAAACTAAACCATACAGACATACGAAAAACTCCACGCAATGCCGGTATATCCTTGCCTACGCCCAAAATCAAGACGTGACCTCGGCAAACCACGTCCTCAACAGGCCCGCCAGTGCAGTCGGCAACTCCTCCAAGTTGTGTACAATCAAGTAGTACTGGAAGGGGAAAGTGTCCAGATACGGCTTAAGCACCACCCTGCTCTCCCCGTTGTCGTCCTTGACAAACTTGGCCTCCTTGAGCTCCAGCACGCTGTCGCCCTTCTTCTTGCCAGTGTCGTCCATGATGATGAAGACAATCATGATTCTCTCCTCCATGGCCTCACGCAGAAGCCTGCGGATCGCCTCGTGCGCCGGAGACGGCGTCAGTCCGTCTGACAGAATCAAAGCCAGCTGCCACAGATCTGAATTGCCTCCAGATTGCTGCCTCGCCGTGCGGAACTTGTCAATCGTCTGCCGGATGAGCAGCGCAATGTCGGTGCTGTCCTGGTCGAAATTGAACTTTTGCAGCACCTTGGCGCCGGCGTCCGAGGCGAACGGGTCTGTGAGCTCGTGAGCCGTGAAGACATCGCCGCCGAACCCGACCACGCCAACCTGCCCGGCCTCTAGCATGGTCAGAGACCTCGACACCATCACCAGCGATTCCATGGCCAAGCTTCCCGACGAGGACTCTCCCATGCTCTTGCTGTCATCCACGCAGAGGAGAATCTGGTACGTTCGTTTGGTCGGGATGGCACGCCGCATCCAAATCTTATCACGCTTGTAGCTGGACGCGATGTATGGGATGATGCGTTTGATGTTGAGTCGCTTTCCGGTCCTGAACGACCCCGAAAGCTTGGTGGACTGAGACGGCGTCAGAATGAGCCGCAGCTGAGAAGTCAGGTTCAATGAAAGCGCATGAGACTTGGTCTGGAACTCTGTCCACTGCTGAAGACACTCTCCGTAGTCGCGAAGAACCCGTGCTTCATCGGAAATGTGCGTTGTAGACAGCTGTTCCGATGTTTCCTCAATCGGCCCATCGTCCGGCTCGCCATCTTCTGCAACTCCGCCATCTGCTTCAGATGGTGTTTTTTCTCGGTTGTAGTTGCCCTGTCGAGTTTGTACGCCTGTCCGACCATCATCTGCTTCTTTGCTATTTTCTGCCTCGAGAGTCTCCCCAGAATCTCCAAGATCCATTTTGTCTGGTGCCTCCTTGGCTTCATCATCTGCGTCCTCTTCCATTCGGTTGCTTGTCGGGTCGTCCTTCTCGCCTTCGTCATCGATAGCCATGGCCTCATCAATAGGCTGCACCTCATCTTCCTCGGCATTTCCCATTGCTTGCGTATCGGCGGCTGCCTCGTCGTTCTGCAAGTGCTGGTACTCTTGTCGGCCCTGTTCAGCATTTTTTCTTTCGTCTGCCTTCTGATTATTGGTGTCTTCCTGGTTCGCATCCATGATATCTGCATTCTGACGATGCCACTTCTCCAACGCATCGCCCAATTTGCGAAACGGGTCGCTCCTTGAGGAATTTTCGTCGTCGTCTTCTTGTTGACTCTTGTCTACAGTTTCGTTTGACCGAGACGTAGCGCCTTTGCTACCCGCACTGGTGTCTTGGTCGGCTGCACCATCTCCCATATCTCCTTGCTCCTGTTGTGCCGCTTGCGCTTGGAATTTGTCGTCAATATCCATTGACTGTTGATTTTGATCCAATCCAGTGCTCTTGACGTCGCTGGGAGCGGCATTGTCAACATCCGTATTTGCATTGTCCTGTGGAGGTTGGGTCACATCGTGAGCCGTTTCTTCCTGGCTTTCCTCTTCTGCTTCGTCGTCCACATCAGATTCCACTTCGTCCTTCACTTCATCAGCACCAGCGGGGACTTCCTCCTCGTCCTCGCTGATCTCATCTTCGACTTCTCCAGCTTCTTCCTTCAACTGCTGTCCCGCTGCATCCTCCATATCCTCACCAATTTCATCCTTCTCAGCTGGTTGCTCTTCAGGCTGGTCGGCCTCGCCTTCAGGGTCGGATAGGTCGTCCAAGTCATCGTCATCTGAGACTTCCTCTTTGTCGTCAAAATCTAGTTCCATGTCCTCGGGAAGTTCAAGCGCGTCAGTCTCCTGGACATTTTGGTCTTGCCGATTCAACTCCTCTTGGGCATGTACATCTTCTTCCTCAGCTTCAGCCTCTTCTTCCTCTTCTCCTTCCTTGGGCTGTTCTTTCTCCTCACGAACTTCAGGCTCCTTCTCGGCATCCTTTTGCTTTATATCCTCATCGGCTGCCATTTGCTCGTCATCTTGTTGTTGACCCTTCGCTTCGTTTCCTTGTTGGTCTTTGTCAGCATTATCATCATCATTGCCGTCCCACATCTTCTCGTCGACTGCCGTAGGATCAAGGTCATCAACATCACCAGCCTCTTCATCCATGTCATTCTCCTCTTCCTCTGTCTCATCACCTTTCTGGGAACCTTCGTCCTCATCTTCTCCAGCAACGCTGCCCAGTTCTCCTTCCAGATCTTCGTCTGCCATGTCCACTGCGTCCTTTTCGTCTTGGATATCTTCATTCTTCTCCTTATTGGCTTCTTGAGCCAATTCCGTAAGATCTTCATCAGGTTGAATGTCTTTGCTGATGTCCTGTGCACCCTCCCCGTCGCCCAGACCAGTGCCAGCCTCTAGTTGTCCAGCATCACCCGATATTTCGTCCGACTTTTCCTGAGGTGTGCAGAAACCTTGGGAAACAATCTGATTAAAAGCCTTGGTCAAATTGTATGCCATGTGTGCTGAGGCGCGGTGCATTTCCAACCCCTGACCGATGGAACGCGAGCAAAGCGTCAAGAACTGGTCCAGTATCGGGGAAGCAAGGTTGATGATACACGCAGCTGCGGTGCTTGTTTGCCCGTCGTCAAGTTGAATTTGTCGTATCATATCAGTACAACGGCGGACTGTTCGCTCCACGTTATTCATCCGCAACTGGTTGATCATGGCAAAGAAGGCCTCACAATGTTTCGTTAACCAGCCTGGCTCGCCAGGCTCTCTGGGAACGACAACACCCTTCCTCTTGGCAGTTTCAATCGCGACAAGTACTGTGTCAGCCAGACTGGACACGGCGTTGGCGAATGTATCCAAGGTTGTGTCTCCGATAGAATTGTCGTGGCTTTCGGATTCAGTCTTGGTCCAGGTTTTAAGATGAGAAAGAATGAATGCCAAATCTTCACGAATTTCAACCAATTGACCAATTCTGTGATCAATCTCATCCAAATCTTTTAATACATCTTCTCTCATCTTGTCATGTGCCACTGAACTGATTCCAACGGGCAACTGCACCAAGGTTGTAGCCGCTGCAGATCTAGTTGCCATGCGCGTTGCCCACTCCTGCAATTCCAGGACCACGGCCTTATTATCAATGTTTCCAATTTTTCCGTGTATCTCAATAAGACGGATAGCAAATTTAATGCCATGACCAAGCCATTGCACCAAGTGTGTCCAGTCGCCGTCAAATCTTTGGTGAAGAAGCGTACCGTTCTTCGCAGCGCTGCCCAGATTTTTGAATTCCTGAATTGCCTGCTGCAAACTTTCCCGGAGTTGACTAGCGGCGCCAAGGCTCTGACGTTGGGTGAGGTTGAAGCTAATCAAACCCTCAACGAACCCTATACTTCTTGCCACCTCAGCACCAGTGAGATCATCAGAATGTTCTCGAGAAGCCTCTCTAGCCCTCGGCGCAAGATCTAACGTTTTGTGCAAATAGTACTCGGCTTCCTTCGCTGCTGCTGAATCGGGGGACTTGACTGCCGTGAGTGACGACAGAACAACAGCCAGTGAATTTTGCTCCGCCAACTTATCTTGTGATAAATTATGCTGTAGCCCCATCGTTCGGAGATCTCGTAGCGTATCCGCAAAGAGTTTTCGTTTTCTTGTCTTGAGATGCTTAACTTGGTCCTTGTTTTCGTCATTGAGAATTGATGGCGTCTCCTTACGCAACTCAGCCATTGACGTATTCAGCTCAGTGACAAAATCCAGAACAAGGTTTGACATGTTGCTTGACATATCGGGACTGTATGTGATCTTCCTCATCACGGAGATGGTCTTTGGCAGATTGGCAAGCCTCTTATGATCCGGAAGCCACCCAGGTAGCATTGCATCCAGCGCCTCTATTTTAACCATTGGCAGGTCCGATGCAACGGGTTCAGATTCCATACTTGTCCCGATGGTCAAACTCTCATCAGGAAGCCCTTGCGCCATAAACATCTTCATCTCTTGGCCTAAAACTCCTCGGAATTTTCGAATCAGCCGGAACAGCTTCTGGTGAGATTTGCGGGCACTCTCCCGAAGGGCATTGATATTGGTATCTTTCCAGCTTGCCATGAGAAGAACATCTTTCATCTTCTTCTCGATTGGGGTTCGGCCTTTCTGGATGGCCTCCTCGGCCGTCTTTTCATATCGCGTGTAATAGTGCACAAAGTTGTCCACCGCTACGCAAATAGTATCTAAAGCAGGATAATCTTGCGCCAACATGTTGAGGTGGCTCAATAGTTGACGGAGCAGGGCAACGCGAGGTTTAAACTGGCCAACAATGGAGCTTGAAAAGTACAATTCCAGATTCTCGACCAACGACTTGGCATAGGCTTGCATTTCGGAACGCGAGTCTACCATGGTTAGTGGAACAGCAACTACGGCTTGGTAAGCGACGAACCACCAAGAATAAGCGTCTTCTTGGCATTTTTTCTGCTCCATATTGAAGAGGTTCGCCCATGTTGAAAGCTCGAGACGTCGCCATCGAATGACAGTGTCGGTAAGCGAGTCGTGAAGGGAAAGGACCGCGTATTTTTTGCTAGCCCATCCTCCAAATTGCCATTCGTAAACGTGAGCATGCAGCTGTTCGACCTTTGGTAGAAGCTTGGCCAACGGCTCCCCATGGACTTGTTCCAAGAGCTTGTCGCAAGATCGAATCACATCAGCCAAAGGCTGCATGTGACCAATCTCATCTACAAGTTGCAGCTCGCGGAAGCGAGCCTTGATCTGGTGGGTCAAAGAAACAAGCTGCCGTGCTTCAGCTAAGCTGGCATCGGTGTAGAAGTTGTACGTCTTCGTAGAAGATGAGGATTGTAGCTCGTCCATCTTCTCGCCCAGAAGAAGCAGTGTGCTTGCCAACATATTCGAGTTGATACTCCGATCGATATATGTGTAGTCTTGCAGCTCATTAACGACGCGTTGACCGGTGGCCATGCATGATTCTCGAAGTGCATCCTGAGGGTCTTGTCGCTCAAAAAAGATTCTGCGATGCGAATCCGCCACCTTCAACGATGTATCTCGAACTTGGTCTGGCTTAATATCCTTGCGAACAGTGGAATCTTCGTCATCGAAGGTGGGAAATAGCTCGTTGAACTCGATCGCATCAAATTCCTCTTCATCTTCAAGAGTGCCCCGGAAGCGATACATGCTAGTTCGTGCCGCCTCAGCTTTCCTGTCAGCATCGAGTTTTTTGTTCCAGTCATCGTAGAAGCTGTGGAAACATTCGAACACAGCCTCTCGATTGGCCGAGGAGAGACCTTGGAGACCACCGACCGCCACATTTGCGCTCATCAGACTGAGGAATTCAAATGATTTGGTCCCTACGCGGTCGGACGAGACATCCTGTGTCTTGAAGCCGAAAAATGGTGTGGATTCTACGAGTTGCAAAGCAGATGGCTCTAGATTCGCAGCCTTGGAAGTGTCGCAGAGCGAGAGACCAACTAAAAGACAACGAAGAATGTTGACAGTAGGTCGTCCCATATCTTGATATGCTTCAAACCGGGAAGAAAGGCGATCTACCAATCGAGAAACATTTTCCCGAATTAGATGTAGAGCACCTGCAACCCCGTCGTCTGATTCCGAGTTGAGGCCCTTCATAACGCCGGATAGACTGGACCCGGTGATTGTCTTCAGGATATTTGAGAATTCAGCATGAAGTTGGTGGAGCTCGGATCTCTCAGGGCGGAAGACAGGCTGGATTTCCTTTGGTGCCGGACCAAGCTTATCAAGCTGTAGATGGATTAATTGAATCCTGGCGCTTGTTTCTTGTCCCGTGAAGCTGGTTTGAAAGGCCTTCAACGCGGCTAGCTTTCCCTGCAATGAAGCCTCGAGCTGTTCAAAGAACTTGAGTTCCACTTTCGGCTGGAGCTGGGGATCGAAGATGCGGTCGGGAACGTAGAGCTTGACTAAACCAATGCTGAATTGAAGCCATGCAAGAGCCGAAAAATAGGCGGCTTTATTTGGATTGGCTTTCGAGGCAATAATTCCCGCAACCGACGGAATGAAATGATCCGCTGTGGCTTGTCGAAGATGTACAGCTTCAATATCTTGAAGAAGATCGTTAAAAGCGGTATTGGAACCGAGCCCATCCACAGCAACCGTGGAAATCGAGCTGATATTGGCCTCAGCCTGCGAGAATATAGCACTCAGGGTGTCCTGCAGTGGGGAGTCATGGGCTCCAAAGGCGTCCAACATCAATCTCCGAAGCAGATCATTAAGATTGACAAGAGGATCTGCTGAAATTTCTGGACTTAATCTAGTTAAATGCTTCCCAACAACGGGCAGTTCTGTCTCCAGAAGAGCCAAAGAGCTCAGATTGACGTTCCGCAAGCCATGAAGTTTCTGCCACAAAGATGTAGTCAGTTTACCGTCCCAAGAAAAGACGCTCTGGTGAGCCAAGTAAGAAAGAGACTGTAGATTGAATGCTCTATCAGAGGCGCTAGCAAGCGTCATAATGGCCTTGGTAGGTAGGTTTGACAAAATGACTAATTGGTTATCGAGCTCGGGAGTCCGCGAGTCACTGGCCAAGGATCGAAGCATGAACAACTGTCTCAGGTTCTCACATTCACTCGCAAAAAACGGGACCGTCTCTTGCGCTTCTTGTCCAATGCGGGTTTCGAGGTCTTGAATTGCCGTAGTCAGATCTGCCACAAGTTGTTCGGCAGGAACAGAGTCATCTCTGACAATCCTGTAAGCCGTTGCCAGAGTTTGCTGAGCTTTGGACAAGTCGAAGATGGAAGCAGATGCCTTCCACCTAAGGGTATCAAATCTCGCGGCCAGTTGGTCGACTTCAACTGAGCGATCGAAAACAGCCTTGTTCGCAATGGGGATGGGTCTGAACGTGTTCCACAGGACCTCCATGCTCAAACCAGTGGACAGCTGGAAGCCAGAGTTAAAGTCACTCCGCAGTTGGCCAAGGGCCAGGGACAGGAAAGTAGAGTCGGTATCCCCCGTCATCATCTGGCTAAATTCCTCAAGTTTTCTTATACCAAGGCCAATGTGGGCCTGAAAGTAGGCCTCATCAAACTCATGGCTCGAAGACAGACAAATTGTCAACTCAAGATAAAGCCCAAGGATCTCAAGAAGGTGACGTCTTGCGAGAAAACTTTCGGTTGAGTCTACCGCCTGATCCAGGTATCTCTCAATGCAGGCCATTATCGACGAGAGGAATCCTGCAAGCTTAACGGTGGAGTCTTTAGATACAGCAGCAACCCGGTCGCTGATGAGAGATCGTTGTAAGCGACTCAAGGAGCCTAGTTTCGCAGTCTGAGCTTGGCTGTGGTGTTTCATGATGATTTGACGGATACGATGCAGACGGCGAGAGGTCTCATAACACGTTCCCATCCAGTGCGCTGATGTTTCGTTCTCAAGCAACTTAATCGCAATTTGATTATTCAATGGATGAATAGGCAGCGCCTGGGGAAAGTCCGCGATAGTATCGCACGAAAGTCTTGCGTAGAGTTGCATTATATTGCGCAAGATATGAGACCCTTGATTTGTCTGGAGAAACTGGAGCAAATCAGTGGAGGCAGAGCGCAAAGTCTCGACAGTGGTGCCTTGATTCACAAACCGATCAAGAAGTGCCATGTCATCCAGGGACAGGTTGTCCACGGCAAGTTGGGATGTGTCTATCGAAATATCGCCAGCAGCGGCATTTGATGACAGCCTTGAATCATGATATCGCTGAAGTCTGCTTTCGATGGCGGAAACTTTGTCCAGGCACGGCACCGATTCTGGTGGAGGAGAATTAATATGAATCTCGATAGCCCGGTTTCTCATGGCACGCGAGAGCTCGCCGTATTTAGGATCCATCGTAAGGAAGATCCTGAAATCTCGATGGGGCCTGATGATTCTTGGTTTTCCATCTGAGTCACAATGCTCATTGATGCTCAGAAATCCATTAGGCTCCAGGAGGGAGTTGAGTCGATCCAGAACAGAGGCGTTGCACATGTTGGCATTATCCAAAACAAGCCACTGACCAGTGACCAAAGCCTTGACAATAACACCATCCAGCCACTCGAATCGTGGGTTCGCAAGGACCAGAGGACCTTCCAATAATTGTTTCACCCTGGTGAGGGCTACCCCCACCTCAGTATCGGACGAAACATGTTCGAGCAAGGATTTGATCGAGATCAGGATAGCCGTAAGGCTGTCATTGTCACCGTTGTGTCTGTGAAGAAGATGCAACAAATGCAAAACTTCTCCAGGAGCGGCTGATGGGACGAGAGTCATGACGGAATCTTGCAGGTATTCGCAAAGATCAACCAGGGCTGCATTGACTTCCCTGAGAGGATCAGCTTGCTCAAAACCACCAACGAGGTCCATGGTATCGATATCTGCGTTCATTGGAAACACCACGAGCCGTTTACCAGACAGGGCAGCAACATAGCTCAGCAAAGATGACTTGCCATATCCTGAAGGACCCCCCAAGATGCATGGAATGTTCTGTTTCACACAAGTCATGATAGATTCTAGTTCAGCAAGCCGAGGAACGATATTGATGTTCGGCAAACCCTCGGGTTGTACATTCAAGTTCCTGGGTAATACAGCAAAACCTATTTGACCGAACTGTGAGTTCAAGTTATGAAAGTGATTGTGGGCTCGTGGTTCCCATCCAATGACACGGGCAAATAACTTGTCCACCTCTACCCTATCTCTCGATGTGCGGAATCGTTGCCTGACAACAATGTCAAGGAAATCGTCCATCTGGGCAGTTTTGAGAAAGGGATCGGAGGACCTCAAAAGGTGTAGCCATCTTAGCACGTCGCGAAGATTAAACTCCCAGGGGCCCCCTTGAGAGCCAAACGTTTTTTCGACCACAATCTGGTGCTCGAGCCTGGACACAAACTCAATTAAATGAGCTATGACATCTTCACTAAGCTGAGGGAAGTTGTGGGAGGCAATGAGTTTCAGGTCCTCGTCTTTGAAGACATCCGCATAGACGACGATAAAACGATTCACAAAAGAGCTTGGCAGACCTTTGCGACCACCTCCTTGGTGGTGAGGGTTCTGAGCTGCGAACAAGCGGAAGTCGGGGTGCCTCTGGAAAACCTGGTCGAGCTCGGAGATGTACACCTCACCACGATGATCGAGACATGCGTTCAAGCCTTCCAAAACAGACTGTGATGCAAGATTCATCTCATCTAGAAGGACCCATTCGCCCTTTTGCATTGCTTGGAGAAAAGGAGCGTCTCGCCACGCGAAATTTCCAGCTTCTTCACCCTCGACAGGGACATCGGTACCGAAAAGATCCATCAAGTCAGTCTGGTCGGACAAGTTGATTCTTGTCAGTGGTCGGCCACATGCCTGGGACAATGCGGCAACCAGCGTTGTTTTGCCTACACCAGGACTGCCTTCGAGTAAAATTGGCTTTCTCATCTGCAGTGCTCGAACGACTCTCATCGCATTGAGTCGCGTTGTAGGGGCATGGAATGCGAAAGTAGGGTCTGCAGAGCCCGTTGGATCACGCGGTATGCTGAAGTCACCAATGGACAGGAGATTATCCGTTATTGAAAGCATCGGCTCCGTCGGGTAGATTTTTGATACGTCCTGGCCGATGAGTTCGCCCAGCTTGTTCAGACACTCCCATCTTTGGGCGTTGACAGTTTTCAGATCAGTGGCTAGCATGGCTGAAGGATTGGCACCGATGCTGTCGACGAAGATGGCTGATGCACCGTGGACGAACGAGATGATGGGATCGTTGGCCTTGAAGCTATTGATGAACTGGACCCAAACCAGAATTTCTCGAACAGAGAACGCACTCGTCGCCATGGACCGAAATTTCCTAGCGAACCAGGACGCGAAGTCAACCATGGCATCAACCAGATGCTTGGATCCATCTACAAGTTTGGTCTTGACAATATCGTATATGTCTTCGCTTTCGGACAAAGGGGGTACCCAGATTTCCGTGAATCGATTTCGTAGGGCGGGCGAAAGCTCTTTCTTGCCAAAGTCACCCCCCGGGTTCATGGTAGCAAAGAATTGAAATCCATCAGCACCCACAACGAAAGAATTATCGATACCTTTCTCTGCCAGAAGCAACGTTCTCTGGGGCTCGAGAACAGAATTGAGTCTTTCCAGCACGGAATCGTCCGCCAGCGAGATTTCATCTAATAAGAAGAAGTGGCCACCTCTCATGGCCTCGACCAATGCGCCGTCAGACCACTCAAACAATGCCTTCGACCTGCTCTCATTTCCTGCCAGTCGGTCGCGAATAGACTGGGGCACTGTGTCCATGACTGTTTGGGGGAGAGTTTTGTACTTTTCCATATTTTCTTCCACAGACGTTGCAATTTCCATGCCTAGAGATTCAAAGACCATCATCAAATCTGTGCGTATGGCATCAAGAATGGCGCCACGGTTGCGGACAGGTCTTTGAGACCCAATAAGGTCTCCAGTCTCCGTATTTTGATGAGCATTCACAATGTGTAGTTCTTGGTTGAGGGCTTCTGCGAGCAGTTGAACGACTGTAGTCTTGCCACAACCCGTCTCTCCAACCAGTAGAACAGGCTCATTATTCCGAATAGCTCGAGAAACTAGTACGTACAATCTCCGCATCGCATGAGTCCAAACCACGCCTTGAGCATTTGCTTTCTGGGTCAAATTCTTCAGTTCAGGGGCTTTGAAGGCAGAGTATAATTCTTGAGGGTCCAATTTGACTTTGAAGACATTCTCGATAACTCCTTTGACAGCAATACGCTCCTCCTCGTTGCGGACCCTTTCGGCGAGGAGCATAAAACCGTGCGCAGCAATGTCTTCTCTCGTATCGGCTTCTCTGAGTGCCCACCGGAATAAGTCTCGCAAAGTTGCGAAACTATCCTTTTGCTCAAAAAGCCTGCTTGTTTGCCGAAGTCGAGAAAGCTCCTTGTATACCGTCACAATGCGTCGACAGTCAGGCGGCGAGGTGTTTCGACTCCGCTGTTGGAGGATGTACTCAAGTTCATCCTCAGGAATATCATCGAAATGAAGCTCCAAAAATCTGTTCCTGAAGGCTCGTGAAAGAACTTTTCTACCTCCATACAGGCCAGGAGGGTTCTGGGTTGCAAACAGAATGAAGTTTTCGTGAGGCCTAACGATTTCCTGAGTTTCAGGGATCAGAAGTTCGCGATTGTCGTCCAGGAGTCGGTTCAGAGCCTCCAGTACATCGGTAGGTGCCAGGTTAAGTTCATCAAGCACGATCCAATGACCTTGTCTCATAGCTTGAACAAGTAATCCCTCTTGGAAGCGTAATTTTCCATCAGGGCCTGATACGTAAGTCCCTAAATACTCCTGAAGGTCGGTGTGCTCGTGATTATTGATGCGAACGAACTTGTTACCAGTGAAATTGGCCAGATATTCGATCATGCTGGTTTTGCCCGCGGATGTTGGGCCTTGAATCAGAATAGGGAATCGTCTTGTCGAGGTGGCTCGGACCAAGTTTAGAAGGTTTCGTTCAACGTAGGGGGTAATGATGTAGTCGTCTCGTTTGATTGGAGTCTGGTCACCTTGGAACAACCAGTAATGGCGGTCACGGTTTTTGTTCTGAAACTTGACGTATTGACGACCGTCATTTGGGTGCTTAGGGGGCTGTGATAATAATGACTGCGGATTGCCATGCTTGTCCAGAAGGTGGTGATAGATTAGTGGCAACAACATTTTTTCAGAGTCTCTGTCCAGCAAAGTCAGGAAGCCCATAGAAAAGCCTTCGTACAGTGCACGGCGAACACCGTAAAGCGGCGCAATGTTACCAACATAGCTCAAGACCCTGGTCAATGTTCGCAAACTGAAGTGAGGAACTTCATTTGCGCCGTCAACCAGTCTCCTTTCCTCGGCCATACGCTTGGTGTTCAAGTACAGCCGCGCAATATCATCCGCAGCTTGGTCACTCTTTGTGCTTGTATTGCCCATATAAGTCTTGATGATGGTGAGAAGGTCCTTCAGGTCTGTATCGGGGCTTTTGACATAAAGCTCGGTAAAACGTGAGCGAATACCAATAGGTAGGTCACGTTTTCCGACATCTGTTGCAGGATTCATGGCGCCGAATATGCGAAAATCGGGATGTGCCACGATTTTCTCGATTTCTCCCGTTTCTGAGAGTAGAATCGAAGGTCGCTCATTAGGGCCGGTTAGGAGATCTGCAATACTTTCCAAGGTATCAGGAGACGCAAGGTTAATTTCGTCCAGAAGCACCCAGTCGCCATTACGAACGGCTTTGACGAGGTTGCCTTCCACAAAGCTGAAGGCGAAAGCCCCCGACCCTCCGGATATCTGGACATCAAATTGTTCCAAATTCCGTGAAAAGGAGTCCCATCGTGGTCGCAGCTCTAGGAGCGTTTGCAGCTTTGACTGCGTCTTTCGACGCTTCGCGGGCTGTGCATCGCCATCTCGAGCCTCTGCCTGGTCTCCTTGGCTGCGTTCAAGCTCAATCACAATTTTGGTGAACATTTTCGGCGCCTCTCTCCAGAGCTTGGATAGTTTTGACCACTGTGACTTGGCGAAGCATTTGCCAACTTGCTCCAAGTATTTCTGATTCTTGGATGCAGATATTCCCGTGGCAGCAAACAAGTCCTCAAATTCCTCCTTCAGCGGCACCGCAAGACTGCGCACATTGACCGGCTTAAATCCGCCAAGCAGGTCGCCAACCTCGCTCTGTTGTGATAGATTCACCGCAATGAGCTTATGACCTAGTGAATCGGCCAGTTGCTGGACAACAGTGGTCTTGCCTATACCTGTTTCACCAACCAACAGTACAGGTTCTTCAAGCTTGACTGCCACCGCAATTTGCTCCAACAGCCTTTTGGCGTGAGCTGTGCTTGCAAATGGGCGTTTCGACTTTTGTAATCTGGAATGTAGTCTCTTCTTCCGTAGCTGAGCTCGTCCGACACAAAATGCACGGTCATTTTCTTCCAAAGGGGGTATATTGGCAGACAAATAGTGGTCTGCCCAATCTTTGGACAAGTGCATTTCTTCCGCAATTGCATAAGTCAAGACTCTACCCAATTCAACATCGGGACAGCTGCCAACGAAGCAGTCTAATGCCTCCATGAACATCCAGTCTCTTGTCGTTTCGCTAATAGGCTCATCTCCATTTGTAGAACCTGCAGTGAGCAAGCATTCCTTCAATCTGCGACACCACTTCAAAAGATCGCGGAGATTGACTTGGCGGTCCATCACACTCCGTCCACGAGACATGAGGCTGACGTTGCTACCCAGTTGAGCTAATCGTCTGTGAACGGCGAGGATTCCTGGCACAAATTTGCGGAGTATAGGGTACGTTTGTATGACGACTTCTTCCAGCTCTGGCTGAGTAAGGGGATCCGTGTAGAGGGTTTGCCAAAACCGCATACCAACTAGGGACGGTAAATTCTCCCGGCCATTTAGCCCTCGTGATGTTCGAACGGTAGCGAAGAGTCGAAAGCTACTGGCAGCTTTAATTTGTTCTCCACGGCTTGGAATAAGCAACTCCTTGCGCTCAATTAGAGGAAGGAGAGTGCTCAGCACTTCTGTTGGCGCCCTATCGAGATCCTCAACCAGGACCCATCGGCCTTCCTTGACTGCAGTCGTCAAAACACCTGGCCGCCACTGAAAGCTTCCTGGTTTACTGTCCGTTGCATATAAGCCCACTAACATCTTCGCGTCTGTTTGATCGTTCAAGTGAAGTGTGACCATGTTGGAGTACATGCCGAGTTGTGTGGCGATTTCGCGTATGAGTGATGTCTTGCCTACCCCAGCCATTCCATAGAGCAGAATTGGATCCGCATTTCGTAATAAGGTCGCTAGACGTTCGAGATTTCTGGTAGTGGTGTTGGTCATGACGAGTGAGGAGGGATCGCCAACAGGGCCATGCGGTCGAGGGAGCAAGATGTCTCCATATGAGACAACGTACGGCGTAAGTGTCTGCAAACATTCTTTTTCCTCACCAGTATCTTCTTCACACTTCAGTTGAGCTTGTAAATCAAGCACCCGTTGCGCTCGGTTCTGCTCATACAGTGAGAGAAACCCAAAATCCACCGAGGCGCCATCCAGACTTCCGGTCACAGCCTCTTCCTTTCCAACATGCTCATGAACCAGAGCCTCGAGCTTGAAATCTGACGCGTGTAGCAGTAAGCAGAATACCCGAATGGCAAGGTATCTGACTGGTAGGCTCTCATGCTGGAACAGAGTTTGCATGCATGAAGCTGATGCAAGAGGGCTATAAGTCCTGAAATCAAAATTCAAAAGTCTCCATGCCGTAATAAGACTTTCCAAAAGGCTTTCCCCATCTAACCTTGACAATGAAGACTGGTCAAATTTGGGTAGTAACAGTTGCAGGGATGAAGGCTGCGCCGTGATGGGAGAAACGTCGTCGGTACATCGAAGAAAAGAAGCCAGATATGGCGCAAACGGTAATAATCTCGCAAAAGATGCTGCTGTTCTTATAAGAATTGACTCATTTGTGGCGTTGAGAATCCAACGCGCACATATGTCGGGAAAGACATTTTCAAAATGCACAAAGACTCGCTCTGTAAGTGGCGGGTATAGCGCCGCCTGTGTTACTGCGTCCAAGACTTTTGTCGTTGATTGCTGCCGGATAATGTCAAGTAATTCCGGAGGCAGATGATGTAATACGATCGCATCAGCTAGAAGTGACCTCTTCTGCCGTGAGACGTCAATCATTGCCATGATTGCGTCGATGTTGAACGACTTTCACTCTTTGAGTGCTGCTTGAGCTATCTCCGTCTCGTACATTTGCCAGGCTCAGATACTTTTTTTTTCTTTGAAAGTGACAGGGGTACCAGCCCGGATGTGATGACGCAGGTTTTTCCGGGCCAATCAGCGCGCAGGTGGGACCACTTGCGCAGGCAAACTACAGCAGCCCGAAAAACTTCAGGAAGCACTCCTTGACTGAGAAAGCTGCCCGCGACCGAATCATCTCGACCACGAATTTGAGTCATTCAGCCCCCATCACACATCACCAACCATGGCAATGTCCTGCCGGTATGCGACGCAGAGCTGCGCTCGCCAATTGCGCTCTGTCTACTCTGCTAGAGCCCCTGCACAGATGCTTCAGATCGCCTCGACGACAAGAAGGTTCAACTCAACTGAGGCCGCTCCGACGAACCCCAAGATTGCCGAGATTGTCGATCAGATCAGCCGGTTGACTCTGTTGGAGACTGCCGATTTGGTATCAAGCCTCAAGGTGGGTTTTCGGCGTTTGATGGAGGATAGCAATCGCAAACTCCGACCTGACATGGCTGATCTTGAATGTCCAGAGCAAATTGAACATCCCCGATATGCCAATGGGTGGCTTCGCCGCTGCCGCTCCCGCCGCCGCCCCTGCCGCTGAGGGCGTCGCAGACGCCGCCCCTGCTGCTGCCGAGAAGTCCCTCTTTACCCTGAAGCTGCAAGCTTTCGATGCCGGCGCGAAGGCCAAGATTATCAAGGAGGTCAAGAGTCTGCTGGGACTCAGCTTGGTAGATAGCAAGAGCCCCCGCCCCTGCCGCTGAGGAAGTCGAAGAAGCCGCCCCTGCTGCTGCCGAGAAGTCCCTCTTTACCCTGAAGCTGCAAGCTTTCGATGCCGGCGCGAAGGCCAAGATTATCAAGGAGGTCAAGAGTCTGCTGGGACTCAGCTTGGTAGATAGCAAGAAGTTTGTGGAGAGCGCACCTAAAATGATGAAGGAGAACATCCCTAAAGAAGAGGCCGAGAAGATTATTGCCACCATGAAGGAGCTTGGTGCTACTGTTGTCATGGAGTAAAGAGAATGCCATTGAATTGCAATAAAGGGCTGGCAAGTTCATCATAGAAGGCCGGTTTGCATGTACAAAATCGTCACCTGTACTAGTATCTAAAGGGTAACCGATTCCCTTGTCAACATAAACAAAAAACTTACTTCTCAACTTGATGTCTTCAATGTTTTCTTGTGATAACACCTGTTGAAGCATTGGCATATAGAGTATGTCTTTGACCCATGGCAGCAACATGATTTGCTTTATTTTCTTCTTTTCTTCGTTTATTTTTTGGATACGAAACACAAGAAAATCAGCAGTGACCTATCATGGGTATCAAAGGACTTCCTATCTACAAACTCATACCGGCACAACCACCCGACCCTAGAAAATTTTCCAAAACTCCACGCAATGCAACAAAATTGACCCCAATACACCGCGGCTAGTGGTGGTCTCCATTTGCAGCGCGTCTATGTGGACAATGCTGCATCTCCATTTCCTTGGCACAATCTTCGGCTTCCTCAGAGAGTAACCGGTCGTCATCTTCGCCGAAATCACTAGTCTCCTCCCACAATTTGTTCATCTCTGCGTCTTCAGTCTTGGGTATAGCCCAAATACTCTCTCGTTGCCGCTTGTGACGTTCCCTGTCTTCCTCTATGCGCTGTTCGACTTGGCGTTTATCCAAGCGATGTGGTGCTGATTTTTGTGCCGACTTGGGTACGGCCTGGGCATCTGACTTGTCTGTCATTTCAACATCGCTAGGTGGCGACGCAGGACTCAAATCAGCCTCGTTGGTCTCGCGTTCTTTCAGAACGTCCTCGATCTGGCTAACGGCCTGAGACTCCAAATGCCCTTTGGTCTGGAGACCTTGCAAGACCTAGAACTCGAGGTCAACAACCGCCCCTTACGGATGCTTGTGAGAGAAGCTTTGTATTGTGGCAGACTCACCTTTCGAACTACTTTGACATTTGTGGCGCCAGATCCATCATCAGGAGCAACAGCATCAACCACCCGAATAATATCGCGTTGCATCATACGAACGTATTCGGCATGTCCCTGTTGCGCCAAGTCTAGAAAGTGCTCGATAAAGTACATAATGTTTGCGCGTGTATTCATGTTATTCTGCGGCATGTTAGTCACGCAGTCATGGTTCGCACCAAGTTCCTTCAGATAGAATCCTTACTCTTTCGACCTGTTCGAGGATGCACGAGTGCAAGTCCTCATCCATGTCTTTGTATTTCAAGGCATACTGGGCAGCTTTTTGAGCAGAAACCACAGAGGCATTCAAGTGCTGCAACTGCAAGCTGAATCGCATGCGGACCTCAAAAGGGTCTGCCATTATGTGCTGCAACACAGCTCTGAATCAGCTTGCCGTCTGAGGCAAGAGTGGTGACATGCAGCGTCTTTAGCAAAGAACTTGTTGAGACGAATGGATGAAGGCGTCGAATGCTAGCCTGCGCTGATCTCAACGGCAGGTGGATCTCGGTGAGCATGGCGGTTTGCTCGCTGAGATGCCCCTGTCTAACCTGGCCGCGGTAAAGCCACGGCACAGAGACGCCAGCCGGCACCGGAGCCAACAGCGTAGGAAATCTGTTAAAGCACCGGAAAATCTCGCCGGTCAATTCCCACTGCCTTCAGCGGTTTGGTCAAAACATGGGTTCGCTCTTCACTCTCACAATGCCCCAGTCCTTGCAAATAACTACAGAGAGGACGCATAAGGCTTTCTCTTTCTGAAGGCTTTTGCTTCGTTGAATACCGCATTCTTTCTGAATATTAGATCTGTTTGTTTATCTCACCTAAAAACATCGCTTTCCACTTAAACATAGGTTTGCAGCCTGAAGTCACCGCAATAAGACAAAATGAGCCCTCAACATGGCGATTTCACCATGACGGTGCTGGGATGTGGTCAGTACTTTTTTGCTGCCAATTTTCGTAGCACGTCATCTAACATTAATTAATAGGCACCATGGGAATTGCCATTCTCAACGGCATCCTTACATCCTTGGCCGAAATTAATGGTCCTCGACCCCTTCAATCCCCATCATCAAGCGCTTCCACCCCTGGGGAAGAGCGACCACAGTCTCTCCCATCTCGATTCATTGCTTGCGTTCGCAGCGCTGAGAGTGCTAAGAGAGTCAAGGCTGCTTTGTGGGAGCACTCATCCATCGTGAAGGTTGTTCAGAACGATAACCTAGCTGCCGTCCAACAGGCGCAGGTTGTCCTCCTGGGCTGCAAGCCATACATGGTGAACAATGTTTTGGGCGAGCCCGGCATGGCAGATGCTTTGAAGGGAAAACTTCTCATTAGCGTATGTGCTGGCATCACCGCCGACCACATGGAGATTGCTCTGCACGGATCGGTACCAACAACCAGCCCGGAGGACGACGGTCGATGCAGGGTCGTTCGTGCCATGTGCAATACTGCCGCTCTTATCCGGGAGTCCATGACCGTCATCGGAATCTCTGATCCTCCTCTGCCTCCCGACATGAAGACTCTTGTCACTTGGATCTTCAAGCGTATTGGTGATGTTGTTTACCTCCCCGCCAACAACATGGATGCCTCCACAGCTCTCTGCGGATCATCTCCCGCCATGTTTGCTCTGATGCTCGAGGCTGCCATTGATGGTGCCGTGGCTATGGGCCTGCCCCGTGCAGAGGCTCAAAGAATGGCTACTCAATCCATGCGAGGAACCACTGGGCTAGTCCAGAGCGGTGAGCACCCGGCCCTTCTCAGAGAGAAGGTGTGTACCCCTGGTGGATGCACAATCGGTGGTCTCTTGGTGTTGGAGGAGGGCCGAGCCCGAGGAACGATTTCTAGAGCTATCCGTGAAGCTACGGTGGTTGCTAGCCAGCTTGGCAAGGGTGTCCAGGGAGTCAACGGAACGAGGTTCAACACGACTGGTTAATAAAAGAAAAGCGCAGGTTCCGCGACGCAAATTCTGAATTTCGTATTACTCTTGGTTGAAAGCATAGACCAATTCGTTGCTCGATATACCAACGCCGCAGAAGAATTGTGTAGGAAGCCCATTTCCATTCGTGATTTACTTTACAATGATCTCTAGCCCACCACCCCCTTCTCACACTGAATAACCCCAACGCCAGGTAAGCCTCCATGTACATAGACAACGTCCCCTATCACAAAGCTGTGCCCATTTCAAACATCTTCTACTCTTGCCTTTTTGTTTGCGGTCTCGTCTCCAGCCTCATCACCTAGTTTCCGCTTTCCGTTTACTTGACTGGGGCCAGGACCATGGCCAGCAGCTCGTTCATAGGCCGCCAGAATGCGGGCGTACTCTAGTTCAACACCAGCCAAAGTCTCCTGGAGCTTGTCGATACGTTCAGGTTGTTCGATTTGAGACAGAGCTTCTCGGTTGTGTCTATACAATCTCTGCTTCACAATCAGTTGCCACAGCCTTTCCAAGTGCTTGTCCGCCTGTGTGGGGGCTGGAGGGTCGTCATTCAGCGCCATTGAGGGTCGCACGGATGAAGGAAGCTGAGACATCAGGTACATTTCCAGTACTCTGTGAAATTGTCGAGGAGCAATCTTTGCACTTAAGCGGATTTCCTCAAGCTTGTCTCCTCCAACAACCAGATTGGGCACAGGACCTTTCTTGGGGATCGTAACTGACGAATCCAGTTTCAGTTTGACGAAATCCGGGATTGTCTTGAGAAAGGTGAGGTCACAAACATCTCGCAGATCATCAAAAGCTTCATTCGGGTTCTCAACCGTGAACTCGTACGTTTGGTCATGTTTGTGGTAGTGTTGAAATATTGATTTATACAGCTTGGCTCCATTTCCTTTGCCCTGGAATGGTGGCAAAATGATGAATTGAGAGAGCCTAGTTCTGCATGGGAGGTTTGCCAAGTCAAAGCTTCCATCTGGCAACTCCCACTTGTCTCCGGATTCCGGTGGCGGAGTGGGGGGTCGGCCAAAGTAGAAAAATCGATATACAGTCGAGTATCCAACAAAGACGTATGACTTCTTATCCGGTTCATCATCTGACTTTTGTGTACGGTAGAGGAAGAAGACAGTCCAACGGTTTGCATCGGACAGATCGATGTCAGACGAGTCTGACTCGGGGTTCTGGCCGATGTACGAACCACCTTCGATAAGCATAGGCACCAGAATCTGAATTCGCGAGTTCAGCTGCTTTATAGCCGGATCTTCCAGGCTGCCTTTCCAAATTTCATACTGGCCGTCAGGTCCGTCGATGGTCTCTTGTAGGGTGCCAGGAGGTGTCCAATTGTCGCCAAGCTGCCGAGAGCTGCTCTCGAAATCGGAGCTCTTGACGAAAGCAACTAGGAACATCAGTAGGTAGTTTGATGTCAGTTTGGCAGCTATATTTACCTTTGGGCAAGTGATTTCCTGCTAGAAGCACAGCGTTGATATCAGTCGGTTCTTCAACGCCGGCTGATGGGCTTAGTTTTTTGCTGTAGGTCGTTTCCAAATGTGGCCGCATATCATTAGCTCGGAATCGCAAGCTAATCTTCAAGTCCTTGTAACCAAAGATCTTCTCCTCGTCGCCAAAAATTGAATACGTAAAGTTGGGATGAAAGGAGCCGACCAGCCGGAGTCCAGACTTGGACGGAGAAACCAGGCTCACATTGAGCGCATCGTTGGAGTCGACAAGCCCTACAAATTGTCAGCTGTGTCGAAACGAAACTAATAAAGACGGCTTACACTCGGCGAGATCGGGCAAAGCGGCCATGGCAAAGGCTGCGAGTTACAGTCGTCAATGGGTGGTGCATAAAGTTGCGTCGAGCCTAAAAAATGGTGATAAATTGGAGTTTGCAAAGCATGTCAGACGCGATGGAAACGCGACCGGGCGCGAATCAATTAAACTGGTACTCGTACTCCGTGCTCCATGTTGCACAGTCTGCCAACAACTCTCTGCACGAGATGCACACCTCCCTAGCGCCCCACATTTGAGCACCAACCGTCTGGGCACCTTTCAGCGGCCGTTTTGTACTAGCATTGCGTCATGGGACCTGCGAGCCAGGGGGGGGGGGCAACGCAAGCTACCGTTCGAGAGGCAACAGCCATTTAGAGCTCGCGGTTTCTCCGGCTTCGTCTTTCGGCCGCTTCAACTAATCCAACTTCATTTTTCGCATCGCCTGCATGGACTCACCCACGGGCTGCTCGCCATGGCTCACATCACCAGCAGTGCCGCGCCGGTCGGTTCCATCATATTTTCGCTTTTCGCACTGCTTGTAATTTCGCTCATCGTGCTATTGATTTTGCGATACTACCTGCCGCTGCGAACCACACCGGGTTTTTATCTCGTCCCCATCTTCTTCGCCTTATGGCTGCCATCAATAGTCGTGCTCCTTGTTCCCATAGACTTAGCGTCCAATGCAGCCACCGACGACGAGACTACTAGAGGAATATGGCTCCCTGAACGAGTTGTTCTGGTGTCGTGGCGGATAACATATTGGCTGACATTTGTTTTGACTTGGTATGGTGCTCTCCAAGGACCATTGCTTACTATGGCGATAGACTTACAGACTATAGGGCCATTTTGCCCATTCTGGGTGAATACTCGGATGCCGGCTACCACGAGCCGAGCGATAAGCTGAAATACTCCCTCCGTCAAAATGCGCAGTTCTATGCCATCGTCCTCGGTGCTAGTGCCATTGGTTTGGTCTATGTCTTTATTGCGTATCAACCCTCTATTTTATCGCTGAAGGGTCTTTTGATGACTCTTGCATACTGCTGGGGTCTTGTGCTCGCCATCTATCTCATGGGCCACGGGCTTGTTGCCATTCCCAGACGACTAATTCGAAATGCAAGTATAAGCGGCCGATTACGACGATTGCAGTCACGAGCCCCAAAGGTGCACGAACACATGGAAGATACACTGGTCATCCTAGAGGAAGTTGAAGCTCAAGTCGCAGAGCTCTGTCGCCGAAAGACTGGCAGTGCTTTGAGCTTTCAAGAATGGATTGAGGAGCTTCAAGACATGGGCAACATCCTGCCGTCTCAGGTGCCGTCTGGTTCTAGCATATTTGGGACTAACGGTCGATCGGTTCCCCCGGTCATCACAGAAAAGTATTTGGCCGAGTTGACTCGAAGTTTTGTTCGGGCCAGACATGCCAGATCTCGATATGTCGACGAATGGAGCCGCTTGGTACACGAAGCAGGGGAATTGCAGGCAATTTTAAACTCCGCCGCTTCAAAGAAACTAGATTTCGGAGAGCCGTCACCACACACGGGAGTTTGGGGGAGGACCAAAGTTTTGAGCCCATATACTCGGTACATTTTCTACTACCACGTCATCCCCTATGCCCAGGTAGCATTTGGTCTGTTCTTAGCTCTCGCCTCTGCTTGCGTTGTCTGGTCGGAATTAGTCCGATATACATTCCCGCGCTTGTCTGTTATTCGCCTCAGCGTTGTACATCACTGGGTGGGAGACAAGCCTGAAGTTGGATTTGCTGGGCAAGTCGTGTCTGCCTTCTGGATTTGCTACATGTGTGCAGCAGCGCTTCTCTCCATGACGGAAGTCAAAGTCTGGCGTGGCCGGGCCCTCGTGAAGCGGAACACGTCTTACGAATCAGCGTTCTGGTACTCGATGCAGGTCGCCAAGCTTACCATTCCCTTGTCATACAACTTTGTGACATTCTTGTCTAAGGAGGTGTATGAGAAGACAATATTCTTCAAGTTTCTTGGACAACTACTCGAAAAAACTGCGCCTGGTCGGTGGTTTGATGACCTCTTCCCGATTGTTGTTTTGTTCCCAGTGGTAGCAACATTGTTCGGATTATACGGGAAGGTCAAGCGTGTGTTTGTAGGTATCGACGTTATTGACGAGGGCGATGAAAACGGGCCGACGAATGGGACCGGATCTTGGCGAGAAGGTCGTGAGCTCATTGAACGAGAGCTTGGGGGCACAGCGACCTACCGTCGACGGGGAGACACCGCTTCAAGGGTCGCGTTAGGTGGACGAGGAAGCAGAGCGGCGCCCATCCTCTCGATTCCCGCAGCTAGGGATTCCGCTCCGTTGCCTAGTCAATCACCCGTGCCGTCGGCCAACAATCGCCGACCAGGACAAATCCCACGGGCTCCCCTTACCGATGATGCAATGGAAGACGACAACATGCTGGCAATTATAGGCAACCGCGTGAAAAACACCCTCGAGGGCATAGAGGCACCCAAATGGTTCCAGGAAATCAGGAAGCCCAAGTGGATGGGCCGAAACAACGAGAATGCCGGCAATTCTCAGAACAATTCTGACATACGAAGATGGTTTGGCGGAGAGGGGCACATCCGGTTGTAAATGCAGGGAGAGGTTCTCAACATGATTGCGGCGCCGCGGGTTGCTTTTGGATATCTGTTGCGACGATGGGCGCTATAGGTGCATGGTCTGGCGTTTTTGATTTGGCTAGCCGGGAACATTGTTTACCTGCAGCACAATAATAATCAAGCATTATCTATACGCCAGCTTAAATGTGGCTTCTGAAGTCTGTATTCTGTATTCTGTATCCAATCTGGTGACGGCTGCCCGTGCATACATGTGTTCGTAAGTCGTGAATCATAAGGCGTGGCCTATATACAAGGACAAGTCACATGTCTTCTTTCCACCTCATCTTGGAACCAAAGAAGAAAAAAAACCACTCTATACAGCGACACGACCAGATAACAGCTCAAAACTGTCGTCTTATCCCACCTCATCGACACATGCCCCGAAACCATGAGATCACGGCCGGGGCGGCGAACTAAGCGAATTCCACGTATGCGTCTTGCTCATGGTCCTCTTCCTCAAATGAAACATGATTTCCTTTTCCATTTTGTCAATGTTCTGCTCAAGATCCTCATCGTCCTTGGCATACTGTGCCTCGCGACGGCGATCGAACCACACCCATATCGCGACGATGGCGGCAGTGATGGGGATGGTAACGGCAAAGTAGATCCACAGATCTATGGACACGGGGTGGGCGGCTGGCCGCAATAGAGGCATTAGTAGTTTGCAGCTTTAGAATATCCGATGGGAAGGGGGAAACGTACATTCTTGGAAATTGAAAAACGTCATGCTGAAGACAGACGCGAGATACGTGCCGGGCAGAAAGAGCGTCCCCATGAGCGAGATGGTCTTCATGGCCGTGCTGTCGCGTTTGCTGGCGTGGGCGATGCGGCGCTGCTCTCCGGCGATTTCGAGGTTCAGTCTCGCCTCGCGCTGCGACATGATGTTGTACAACTAGGACCCCTGGGTCAGCGTGCCCCTGGGATCAAGAGCCTTTGGGCTGGGGGCCGGAGCCGGTGGACACGCGCGTGTGTAGCTTACCGCTTCCCGCTGCACCTTCAACCTCTCCAGCGTGGTGTGGATGTAATTCTCCAGGCCCTTCAGCTTGACCTTGTAGAACTCTAGTCTCGCCGTCATGCTGCGGTGCAGCTTGTCCACCTCCTTGAGGTGCCGCCTCTCGGCATCCCCCGCGCTCTCTGTTTCGCCGTTGACAAGTCGCAGCTTTTCCTCGCGCACAGCCGTCATCTTGTCGCGGTAGCGCCCCATGGCCTTCTCCATCTCCTCTGCCACGGCCCAGTACGCCTGCGGTCTCTTCCACATGACGTGGCCGTGGCATTCGACGAGGTCGCGATTCAGGCCGTCTACTTCCAGCAGGCCGTCCTGGAAATACCGCTCGTGCTCCTCGACTTCGTTGCGCAGCGAGACGGCGTTCTCCAGACGACGCAGCCAGTCTCTTGCGTCGCGCTGCTTCTGGTCATTTGCCGTGGACAGGTCGTACGAGAGGATGATGATGGGGAGCAGCATCGGGTGGCCGATCTGTGCGGAACATGCGCGGAGGTGTTGCAGCGCGGACACGACGTCTGATGACGGCGTGCCTTTGATGTAGCCCGTGGTGATGTTTGTCTTGAACGAGTGCGAGAGCATCATTTCCCAGCCGCGGGTCCTGCCTTTTTTGCGGACGTCGGACTTGCGGTGGATGATTTCTAATTACAACGTTTGTTTAGTCGTCCAGTTGTTCCTCTTGTGAGTCGTGGGGACGTGGGTGGCTGCCAGCTGGTTGGGAGCACCCAAAAGAATCAAATGAAAATAAAAAACGCACGCAAGTGAGGATCATCGTCGTCCTGATCAAAGGAACTCCAAAAGAACGGCCCAACCACAGACGTCGTCTCAATTCCTCTAAAAGGCAGCTTCAGGGCGCGGACCATGTCTTCGTATGAGTCCTTTGGTAGCGAAATCACCTTGGGCGTGAAGGTATCCTTGTCTTTGGCGTTCTTTTGCACACTAGGAGCTGTCAGTCGACGAAGAAAAAGAAGAAGAAAAAATTACTCGACATCTCAATCGATGCCATCACAAAATCAAGAGGCAGCAACAATACTCACATCAGCCGGATCCCACTCAACAACCTCGTCCCATCGCGCATCTTGTCCGGCGGCGCAAACGCACCCTGTTTCGTTCAGTCCAGCTCGATTCCGTCAGAGACGGCACACTCACCCGCCTATACAAGAAATTGTCAAATTCATCTTCTGTAAGCGCATGTTCTTCGCACGAATTGTAAAACGGATCCTGCACGCTAGACAGTTAGACCATATACTCCCGCTTCATTCCAATGGCCATTGCTTCAAGGAAAACTGACCGAGTAGTTCAAAATTTCCAGATAACTCGTCGTCTCCTCGACAGTTCTACACTCGTCGACATAATACCGAAACATGTAGTCGTCCATCCTTCATCTCTTGGCGCCTTTGCACCCCCGCCTCTAACCTTAAAAATCTAGAGCCGAATCGCCAAGCTTCTTCCGCCCCTTTTTGAAACGCAGAACCGCAGAACGCTTGGTACATACGGAGTACAGGATGTGGAGAAAGGGGACTGACGGGGGAAGAAAAAAACAAGGGACAAGTCTACGACGAGAACCGGCAATTTGGCCGAAGACGCCTCGAACAAATTAAACGAGCTTTCGCTGTAACCTGCAATGCGCTGGCGAAACCCTGTCGGATGCACCAGACCAGCCCCGTGACTTTCTGGCAAGCAATCTGGTGGATCAATACGGCACTTGACGGCACTTGACTTCTCCGGCTCACACTTGACTCTTTTTTGAAGAATACTCGGTACTCTGTGTTGAACCGCGTCAATGACTTTCGTTGCACAACGGTGAATCATTTGCCAAGTCCATTTCATAACACGCCTGGTACTAACTAACTAAAAAAATAAAAAAAAGGTCACTGCTGGTACCTAGACGCCCGCGCAACAAACGCAAGAGTGATTGGCGGATGAGGGCCAATATTGAACGAGCCAGCCAGGCAGCTACACAATCAGCATGCTGTCCCCAAACATGTCGAACTCGTATCCACCACCTTCAAGAATCTCGGCGTAGCTACGCATAACAAGCTCTTTCCCAGCAAAGGCCGCGGTCAGCACGATATGGCTAGACCGCGGCTGGTGGAGGTTTGTCAGCAACACGTCCACAAGCTTGAAGTTGAATCCGGGGTATATGTAGAGATCTGTCCACCCCGACTGAGCCTGGATAGGAGCTTTGGGCTCCTGTTTGGCCGCCAGTGTCTCGAGGGTTCTCATGACGGTCGTGCCAACGGCGACGACACGCCTCCCCTCGGACACGGCCCGGTTGATTTGTGCAGCCGCCTTGTCTCCAACCTGGAAGTACTCGGACCTGACCTTGTGGTTCTCAATCTCCCTCTCGGTGATGTGACGAACGGCAAAGGTCTCGGTCGCCCCGACGTGCAGCGTGATGTGAGCGACCTCGACTCCCTTGGCGACAGCCTCGGCCAGCAGTGCTTCGGAGAAGTGAAGCCCAGCTGAAGGGATATTAAACGACCCAGGTGTATTGGCGTACACGGAGCGATAAGCCAGGGGCGCGGATCTCCAGAGCGTCAGGTTCGGGTCCATCATGTCGTCGACTCGCCGTCCGAATTAACCAGCGTCGGGGTAACCAGGTCCAGCGGCTCGAACCTCGCTCTCCAGAGCTGGTCGGGCAGCGCTTCAAGCAGGGTACAGGTGAGTCTGTCGTTGTTTTTGGACGTCAGGGTCAGCGCCGGCGTAGCCAACGGCCATCCGAATACATCGACAATGGTCGTGCCGTCGGGCTCGTGGCCGCACAAGCCCACATGGGTAGACTCGTCGCCGTACCGGAACCACAAGACGTTTGCAAGCACGTAGCTGTCGTTCAATACGAGCAGGTCGCCCGGGCGAAAGTACTGGCAGATGGTTGAAAACACCGTGTGCGCAATCATCCCGGTAGAGCGGTCGAGCACGACCATCTTGCCACTTTCGCGGCTTTTGCCACGCAGCTCAACAGGATCGTCTGGCACGAATCTTGAGTCGACATTGTAATCAAACTCTTCAGTCCTCATGGTCTTTTTTTATCTTTTTGTAGGATTTGTTACAACTGTATGGTTTGGTACTAAAGGTTGGAAGGGACTCTTCGAATACTACCCTGTTGTTGACTGAGAGATTGCGATTGAATCACAGAGTCGAGATCAGACGCAGATTTTATATTGCGAGTGAGGGGGCTGCTTGCAAGCATACTGCGCAAATACTAAGCGACGTGGGCAGATGGGCGATGCCAAGGGCTGTGCTGGTTGTTGACATTGACCGATGTTGCATCATCACGGTGGCTTCATGCGGTGGCTAAAAGCAAGGGAATCTAATGTCGTCGACGCATGTACCAACAGCTATCCTGACGAATGGCAGAAAGACATGTCAGTAAGGCTGCTGGGTTTCATACAACGTGCTTGATGGTCAGGGTGTTCGAAGCCGTGAAATCAAAGACATGATATGATTATTCGGCATCAAGTCGATACAATCCCAAGACATAGAGAGTCTGCCACACGTCGATATGAATAACGATCCCTGCGCCCTCGTAGTCTATTCGCGTTTTTAAGCTTCTGACTGTATGCCATATTCACGACAGTTGCGCAGTTTTTTCGTACGATGTCTTGGGCATCGTTACGGTCCATCGCCGAATTTCGCAACCAGTGTATCGGGCGGTCGGTGCGATATCTGCTATATTCTGCATGTCCAATGCAGATGAGACGCCTTGGCGGGGCTCACGAGTAGCTTTGGAATTTGAGTCATGGTAAAATCATGTAGATGTTACTCCAGACCTCAGTTTTAGATGCGCCCGTGGCTTTGACTGCGCCGTTATTCCAAGCAGCAAACGGGTCGATTGGACTGGGCATATTCCCAGCACGGTCAGCCATGCATAAATGATGGTGTCTTTGTCAGAATAGGTCACTTGTTACGGGTACAAATTACGTACGCACAATCAAATAAGGGCAAACCCTTAACCACGAGTGGATAACCCTAATAATAAGCGCACTTATAAAAAGAGTATATATAATTTTCTCTTTTATAATTAAATATAAACTTATATATATATATTATTATTATAATTAATACTCTTTAAAGTATAATAATTATAAGCTTAAGAGAACTTTAAATTTCTTATAACTTTTACTTAAGAAAATTAAGTATTTAAGGTATTATTTTAATACTTATTTTATTATATTTATATATTTAATAAATACTAATATTACTTTTATAAACACTTAATTATTTATTAAGCTTAAGTTAAAGCTTTTAAGTTAATAGTATAATTAATATAAAGTATTAAAGAGTTAAGCTTAAGCTAATAAGCTTTAAAATATTATAAACCTTAATTAATTAAATTAC